TCCTAATCATCTGCATTGCGAAATTAGTAATTTGATGCAATGTTCACCATTGCGGAAGCAGCGTTAAAGTGGAAAAGAATTAAACTGAAAACACCACAAATTATTCTCTGAAGCCAATTTAATAGTTTTAGTTCTTGCTTAGTGACGGAAAAAATGTTTACCACAGTTCTTACAGATGTCCCTTCAATTAGAATATGCGTATTAAGTAAAAATAAGGATTAATATAACAGTAAATTTTGGTAAGACAGGTTTAAACCACTAATGTACTGTATCTTTTCATAAGACAGTCATGTGAACAAGACTACTGCTAGTGGGCATTCGAAACGAGATAGTTTTGCACGAGATCAGACAAACAGATACATCAGCCAAGTAGACACCATGCCAAATTTCTATACTAGTATCTCTATCCATACATCTCAACGTGTTACCCGAAGTCAAGGTAGGAAAGTCTTCAACTCAACGAACAGCCAGGCAGATAACAAGCAGAGCAATTTTGCCGATCATCGAAAACTAGAAAAAGAACCGGCACTGTCAGCGAAACATTAAAATGAAGTAGAATGGAACTCAGCATAAAAAATCAAACGCCTCCTGACGGGTGTCAAGAAAATTGAGAAGAGAAAGAGACCCACCTCGTTGGGGATAGCAACAGTCTCAGAGAGGGCAGAAAGAAGCCAAGAGAAGTGCGCTTTCTGGGCGACAGCTGGGTCAGGATTGCTAAGGGAAGCCAGGCGAGAGCCGGGCAAAGGTCGCAGTACGTGCACACGATCCCTGAGCTCCTCCTTTATAAAAACCCTCACAAGATGGAAGGGAGCCCGAAACCAAAACGGTGCAGTTAAGATTATTATCCGCCGTAAACGAATCGGGTAGCAAGACTAGAGAGAAAAATGAACATCAGAGGTGTAAAATAAATGCAGGTGATCAACAACAATTAATGCTTACTTTGAGCATATTGAACAGCTTTTTCAACAAATCTGCGTCAAAATTTGAGTATTTGGCATTCGTCATATCGTAGATAAGGATTATGCCATTCCGAACCGCAGTTTCCCTGTTATGAAAACAAAGCGTTTATAGACGCTGAAGATATAGAAAGCTTGGTTCGAGACTGAACCCAAAAAAGCTTTGCAATAAAAATGAAAAAATAGGCCGAAACTCACTTCCGAAGAGCAGCATTCAGCTGAAACATAACAGACTGGAGAAAAGCCTTGTGGGTACTCCTAGCCGGCCGGTGAAGTCTTACAAAAAATTGAGCAACACGAGCACCTGATAGGTCACTATCATTCTAGAGCCGACCTATGATGGATAGCAAGCCTTACCAAAATAGTAAATTTTCCGGACAAGAGTTCACATCGGACGTTCTCATCGAAAGGATCAATGACGGTAATACCTTCAGCTCGTAAGAAAGCCTGCGAAAATAACGAATCTCAACCGGCTATTTTACCTCATAAGCTTGATAAAGCTCAATAGCTTCCTGAATGTTAAATTTCCGAGCTGCGAGAAATCGAAACGCTCGACACTCGTTCTCACCTATTGCAGACGTCGAACCAATATTCGAGAGAAACTTTTCAACGCACTGAGGATAAACGAACTCATAATTATCATAAACAACGAGGTTGGCGAACAAGATGATCATGCAGAGTTCAGTACTTAAAGCTAATGAAGCACCGCAATGACGATAAATAAACAATGAAGACAGAAGACTCAGGAACAATATTGAAAATGAAGTGAGCAGAAACAGACATAGTTTCAAAAAGGTTTAAAAAAGGAATGCTACTCACCTCTTTTTCCTTTGCCGACAAAGTAAATGGATGATTGCACTTTTGGTATGGGACATCTCCATTTGTGTCGCAAAAGTTCATGCTAAACAAGCCCGACGAAAAACAAACTTTGCGCAAGTTGTACAAATCAGCTTGAAGGATGCAAGGACCTGCTGCTACTACATTTTCAAAACAATGATCATATTAAAAAATATGCTAGTATGAAGCATGCAAAAATTAATAATTCAAAAAAATTAGTGGTAAGGGATTACAAGATCTATAACACCTAAAAGATGCATTAGATAATTTAAAAGAGCTATAATTTCATGTAAAAATTAAGGTTCCTTGTCGACGCACCGCTAGGAGTTAACTGAACTAAATGTCATTTATGTCAAATGATAAGT